ACTCGGCTTTTGATCCTGATCAAGAATATATAGTGACATATTCACAAATTCTGTTATGTTCCAAGAAATATGAATCTGCAGCGTAAGCGATCCCACGCTGAACCAATGTAAACAATCCACATCCGGAGCAAGCAATGCTCCTTCTCAATAACATAAATAATTCTTCAATCAATATCCCAAGCGGGCGATCTCGCTCCCCAACTTTTGTAAACAAAGGGCAGTAGAAGTAAGATTTTTGTCACAATAATTTAGTCTTAAGCTGAGATCATTTGAATAAAGACGTGAAGCGGAATATTCGTTTTATTAATTCAACTTAGCGTTGTCCTTAGTCAACTGACGGGACATTAGTTCGACTCACAAAACAGAAACACTTCACTATATATAATTAATATAGTCGGAGGTGCCTCCTTCACTGCGTTGCAAACTTCTGACTGAAATTATAATACCCTGCAAGGGTATAAAAACAAATATGCTTATCAAGAACATATATTGCAAACTTCTGACTAAAATTGTAGCACCCTATACGAATTTTCAATAGCAGGAATCTTTAAAATCACATTTATTCGAAAGTGGTTTTAATCGAATAATTATATTGTACAATATTGGCAAAAATGTATTTTGAAAAATTGTCTTGAACCAGCTTTTCAGCTACTCAAAATAAGTTGGTCTCGTCGTCTTTTATTTTTGCTGTAAATTAGTGTTATTATTTGTGGTGTTATATTTATAGTTGCGGAGCAATGGCTCTTTATTTTTCAAAATGCAAATGATAATTGAATACAATATAACAACTTTAATTTAACAAAGTCGACTCACAGCGGCCAAGCCAGCTGTGTACGAACATCCGGTCCAATGCTGGATTATAAATTTAGCTGAAGTTATATTACAAACTTGAATCAACGGCTCTGGGCGGTTGACTTGTGTTAACTTACATATTTAATATACAATCAATTAGGTAACTTAAACTATTTATTTAAGCTTAATGAGAAGAAGATTCAAATAATATTTTCTTTTAATATTTTTAGGTTAGAGTATGTTCTCTTTTTCCTAAGCCGAGCTGTTGATCAACTTAACTAATATATAATTGAACTAACTTCACACTCTATTGGAAAATTAAACATAATTTATTTTTCTGAAACAAAAACTGTAAATAAGGCCATTTGCAATATTTATTGATCTTATCTTACAATTTTATTCGAAAGCCGCTGTTGATAGTTAACTTTACTTCACAAAAGTGACTTTATAATGATATTGAATTATACAAATAGAGCTAGATATAAGTATGTATGATCTGAGCTGCGCTAAAGATTATATAGGAAAGTGATATTTTCTTTATTTGTTTTAACTAACTTTAAATTATCCTAGCTTTATTGGGCTACTCCTTTTAGAGTTTCTTTAATGATATCCTCTTGAACACAACATTTAGTATTATAATTGTTTGTTGCATTGTAAGCAAAATGATATTAATAAGTACATCATTTTTGCGAATTATCTGTATATATGTATGTAAATTGTTATGTTATAAACCGGAAATGTTATCAGTCTAGTATAAAAATACCAACTGTTAAATATAGTGGAAAGCATTCATATGTTTGCGCTTAGCCTTTAAACAATTTCTCATAAACGACAGAAAAAAACATTTTTCAGGTGTTCTATTGTGTAGATCCAAGACATTAGCATATGACTTCTTTTTTAAGTGTATCAACAATTTTTTAGTCTTTAATGAATGTTTTAAGAGTTAAACCATTCTCCAGTTCTGAATATTTCAGAAGGTACTTTATCAATTTTGGATAAAATGATTGATTATTAATATAATTTTAAACAGATTTAACAGATTTGTTTAATTAGTATCTTTTTAAAGAACACTTTTTTGAAAAGTAAATGCTGACCAATGCTGAATTAGTACTTTACATGCAAATTTCATACCTAACAAACTTGTATTCGACCCGACATAAGTTAGAAGTTAAAACGGAAACAGGGGAATATTCTTACGTAAAAAAATAAAGAGAAACATTATCTCTCTTGAATTCATCTCGTTTTCATTTATAAGTTTTTAGTTGTCATTTTTATACCCTTGCAGGGTATTATAATTTCAGTCAGAAGTTTGCAACGCAGTGAAGGAGGCATCTCCGACTATATAAAGTATATATATTCTTGATCAGGATCAGTAGCCGAGTCGATCTAGCCATGTCCGTCTGTCCGTTTCTACGCAACCTAGTCTCTCAGTTTTGTAGTTAGTCTTCTATATAATCTCACTCGTATATATGTCGGAACGGGCCTGATCGGACGACTATATCATATAGCTGCCATAGAAATGATCGGAAAATTTTTACAAAAAAAAACATTTTCCGTTTTCAACAGATTTTCATCAAATTTGAGGTATAGCCATTTTATATTAGTCTTAAATTTTGTGTCAAATTTTATGAAAATCGGACGACTATATGACCATACAAACGATCGTTAGATGTGGAGCAAAAATGCAAATCTGTGACTGTAAAACTGCAAATATAATATGTATAGGTGAGTGAAATGAAAGCAGGTTAATACCTGTGTTTTTTAACACAAATATATATAATTTATATTATATTCCTATTCATAGAAGTTCTATCTGCAAGGGTATATAAACTTCGACGAGCCGAAGTTAGCTTCCTTTCTTGTTCTTCTTAGTTTTAAACTTTTTCAGCTTTGCGTACAAAAGTATTATTTGTCAAATAAAGCGCCTTTTGTGACGGGATTTGATACCAATACCGGCATAAAGGTATTCCAATTTTGATTAGATATATGTAAGTGTTTTATGTGTATTATCTTCCAACGTAACGACAGAATACACTTCTGTCGTAAAGGCTTATATATAAAACTATTGTTTAACCTTTTTCTGATATGAGATATTGATGAAAAAGATGCTTAATGTAAGCATAAAAGAAAAACATTACTGGAGGCTTATACAGCGTTTATGTATGTATTTATGTATATAAAAAAAGTCAACTCTCTGTAGAATACCAGGTAACGAAACGTTTCTAAATTTATTTAAGACGCAAACGTTTATTCGGTGTGTCAGGGAGGGAAATAACCAATGGGGAGGATTCAGCCGACTGATTATTTTATTATTTGGTGAATGGGGAGTCTGGGACAGCAATTAACAGATCCTGCGATTTTAAGCGTATAATTATATATAATTGCAAAACGTCTGTTTGGAAAATGTTGTTAGCTGAGATTAGACTGTTTAGCAATTAAGAATTAGCCGGAAAAAACGGGTCTTGATATTTTTGTCTGTAAAGTGTCAGCGGCAAGTGCGAGAGGAATTGGAATATCCGAGCTTTAATGTGTAACCATTCCAATTATCTGATTTAGCTCAAATGTTTAGAGTACATCCGCGCCGTTATATTACCTAAATACTTAATTGTGTACTTTTACTGAACTTACTGAACTCAATAGTACAGCTGATACATAGATTACCGTTATTTTTGGGTAAAATACAAATACAGTCGAGTCCCGATATTTCGAAATGGCAAGGGGATCACATTTTTTACGAATTAGACGGGAATTCGATTTATCGAGATTTCTATTTAACGGGGCTCAACAATGAAAGAGTCGAATAACCGGGGTTTTTACATTTCACATCATGTTTGCATATGTATTTAACTTTATTAAAATTAAACAAACATTATAAGTATGTACATTCATTTGTACGTTTTTCAAATTAAAGGAAAATTAAACAATAACATAAAATTAGAATAACAAAAATTAAACAAATTAGCAGGAACATTAAATTATAAAAAACAAAAATTCAAGCCTTAAAAAATTAGCTGTCTGTAAAATCTAACAGTGCTTTAACTACAAAAATTTCGCATTGCATTACGATTTATAAGAGGTTACGAAACAAAATTACGATTTATAAGAGATTCAATATTCTTTGCGTTGCGCCAAATAATACGAATTAACGAGGGGACCAAAATGTATGGAATTTTTACGAATTAACGAGTTTTTTTTCAAGGGGACAGAATTTTTTACGAATTACCGCGATTTTCGATTTAGCGTGGTACGAATTATAGGGACTCGACTGTACATATATAATACTTTTGTCACAAAATGTGGTAGTTAGTCTTAGCTCCAGCAGATTTCTGTTATTTCACACGGACCGACAGACGGATATACATTATCGATTTATAATACCGAAGTACCCTGGGCATCTGGTACTGAGGTCATGCCGCTTTAAAATCGCTCTGTATTTAACCTATATACACATATTGATCCATTGTATGTCAGCACTTTATAAGGTAAAATATATGACTATAACAAACTATATATTGATTTGTGTGCGTAAAGAGGTACAAGGGTATTGTAATTTAGTGAACAAGAACGTAGTTTTAGAGACTAATAGACTAGCGCTACCACATTTTGGTACCAACATTCATATCCTTTGCACAGATAAATTGAGTTTTTAATGTCATCCGAGAATATATGTAACAGACAAAAAACAAACATCTATGAATACCTCAAATAGACACATTTTTTATCACCATCACCATTATTTAAAGAACTACAGGTCTAAACCTAGCAAATTTGAATAACCTTCACAAATAAGAAAGACTATTTGGTATGCAAACTTTCAGAGTTTGCCCGTACTCTATTATACATACATATGGGCAATTTATTTTAATATTAGGAAGAAAATGTGCTTAGGACCTTATTTCATTTTGACATCTGGGGAAACTTATATCTCTTGATTTTGGGAAATAATTGACAAAGACAAAACTCATTTTTTGATTTCAGCCAAACGTGAACGAAGTTTTTTATGCAGGTATTTTAAATTGTAAGCACTTAAACGAAAAAGACACAAGATCATTTTTCTGCTTGTCTGCTTGTTACGTACATTCTCGGTGGGCACTGGGTATATGGGCATAAAATCGACGCCTGTTCAAGTTCAGGGCAAAAATGCTATACTTTTTACACCTCAAAAATAACGGCACCTCCAGTAACTTTCTTAATAATACAGGTCTTCGTAAACATACAAACAATTAAGGGCTATAATTTAATATTGTGTATAAGCGTCTTCAGATACCGATGATAAATATGTGTTATGTTACATAGTCAAATAAGAAGACGCATCGCATCACATACGAGTGCTCTCAATGCCACATCCCAACGCATCACTATAGTCCAGAATGTGGGGCGGCGAGGCACTACTGCAGCGGCTGCTTCTGTGTCGACCGCCACCGCATAAGTTGTCATTTGCCTTTAATCAACTTGGTGTAGTAGTGCGCAGGAGCAGCTCATCGTCGTCCATCTGGGCCAAGGCGGCGGGAGAGCCCACGTCGATAGTGGTCACTCGATTGCCGCCATCTGCCGCCGAAGGCAGCTTAATAAACTCGCTATCTGTGTGCACTGGCATGATGATACAGACGAAGCTCTGGCCTGATTGTGAATCCCGAGGATGAAGCGTCACAGGGTTAAACTTATCGCTCTGGCCCTCGGTGTAGGTCTGAAGGCGCTGAAAGATCTCGGGATAGTGCTTGCGAAGCAAGACCCCTCGCCGTGATAAGATATCCAGGATGTTGCAGAGAATCAGTTCCCGGTTTCCGTGCAGAGAGCGCTGGCCGGGGTTAAATGTGAGGATGAGGATCTCGGTACATTCAGGAACGGCCACAGCAGGCACTGACTGCGTTTGCCGCTGTGCCTGATCCTGTTGCTCCAGCGCGGCCAGTACCGCCTTGCAGAGCTTCAGTTTGGCGCAGCGGCTTACCAGCTGACGCTCCCATCGCACTGGTGCCTGTCCCATGCCTGGCGCTTCAGAGACTACGCATATGGCTACATAGATCAGCATCTTAGACTCCGGCTTATACTCTGTGCTGAGTTTAAGCAGTTCCGAGTACAGTTCCAGGCCCATTTCAGCTGGCATCAGGTCGGGCCAGCGCACGTAGGAGGCTTCGCCCATGCACTGAAACCCGTTCTTAATAAACCCTTCCGCAGCCTCGGCACTGCGAAAAAGCACTCGCACCACACCCCTTCCTTGAGAGAGACTGCCTTTTCGCGCCAACAGGCTGAGATGGCGTTGAGAGTCCAGATCGTCCTTGCAGGTGGCTAACACCTGGCGGCACAGGTTGGAGGCGCGCGAGTGCAGGCATGCCTTGCGATGCTTCTCCCAATGGGCTCGCCTACACTCGCGTGAACAATATAGATGGGAACAATTGTGGCACGACTTGAATAACTTCTTGGCGTCGCTGGGTGAGGCGCTCTGCTCGCATTTTGTGTTCCGGCAGCGGATCTGTAGTCTGGACCCGGAGCCCGGTCCCAGCGCTGATCCCAGCTCCCAGCTGACCTGATTGCTGCCTCCTGCTGTGTACGTATGCTGATTCTTGGATTCAGATTCGTCCAGCGAGACGCGTCGTATCCCAGAGTCATTTTGCCTCCTACTTGACTCTGCACCAATGGACTGCGACTGCTGCTGGGTAGCGAAATTCGATTGCGGTTGATCTTGGGACAACTTCTTTTGCTGGGGGGAGTCGCCCTCGCTGCGACGACGAAGTCGCTGCTGCTCAGACACAGAAAGCGCATCCAACTGTTGCCGACTAGCTGCGTTTTGTGCTGTGAAGAAGAGATCAGATTGGAATTAATAATTTCGAAAAGCAAGTCAAAAATAATAAAAACAAAGGGTTTGACTGCTATGTATATAATAACTTCGCAGGCTTAATCTCATGCTTCATACGAGAACTAAAAGTAATTTAAGATAGGGCTGCAAGTCTTGTAGTTTTCTTTCTCAGTGTAATTTCAATGTTTCATGTCACTATGCTACGAACCAAATACTAGAACAAAGTTTTTATGTTTACATGGAACATATTAAATAATATTTAAACTAAAAAAAGAATATAACCTAGCCCAAATAAAACACAGAACGATAAGTGTTCTTGATTTTGAACCGAAGCTTTGTGCACTGAACTTAGAGACAAACCCTTATACATATGTATGTAATATGTGATATCAGTATCCATTCAGCAACAAAATTTACGGCAATGTTTAAACACCTATGGCGTTACAAATAATATGACTAAAAATAGATTGCAATTAATTTAACTAATTTCTTCGCGGTCTAGAGTCAAATACGAAACTAGTTCGATTCATTCAATTTCAAAGAGCTCTACAATGTCTTAGGGCAAGCTTTGAATGTTTCTAATAGGACATTCGAAGCAGATTTTCAATTTCCCAGCTCATCGCCACCATGTGGACTACCATCCACTGTCATACATACATGATTTGTATCTCTCTGTTAAAAGTTTTTATTTGATCGAAATAGATCGATTTTAAATGAGCCGAAAAGTTATAGGGTGTATATATTTTTAAGTATCGAATTTAGCTACCAATTTTTATACCATTGAAGTCGGAAGTTTGAAGTTTGCAACGCAGTGAAGGAGTCACCTTGAACCATATAAAGTATATATATTCTTTATCAGCAGGTAGTCTTCTACATACTCTCACACGTATATATTTCGGAACAGGCCGGATCAGACGACTATATCATACAGCTACCATAGGAACGATCGGAACATGTTTAAAAAAATATATAACTTTTTCAGTTTTCAACAGAATTTTATTAAATTTGAGATATAGCCCTTGTGTATTATTTTAGAATTTCGGTTTTAATTTTATGAAAATCGGACGATTATGTTATATTATATAGTTGCCATACAAACAATTGTTGGGTATAGAGGAAAATGCAAAACTGTGAATGGAAAACTGTAAATAGTATGTATATAGGAGAAGGAAATGAAAGCAGGCATTACTTCATTGTTTTTTAGTATAAATATATATAATTTATATTGTATGATTTCCTAGTGATCGAAATGAGCTTCCTCTCTTGGTTTTGTTTAATTTATTCTCGGTCTGAAACGTCGACTTTCTCGAAACTTACATATCATTAAAAAAAAACTACTACTAACTACAATTCTTTCTATGCGACAAATCACTGTGACGGTAAGGCTTATGGGAAGCACGTCATCAACCAACTCATCAACCGCAAAACACAACTATACAACGCCGTAATAACAGCAAACGAGGTCGACTTAATCTCTAAGGGGAAGCTACATACTAGCCCCATGATCCAAAGAAGCGCGACTTGATTAACTTTGCTTTTGAAATCTATTATCGAATCACTCTTTTGGTCTACCTCTTTGATCTCCCACAACTTTCCAGACTGCTCAAGAAAACAGTTGATGCGTTAATGTCTGTTATGTCACACATAGATTGGGTCTGCCAAGTCCCCATATACCGATGACTGAAGCCGTTAGATTGATAACCCTAAAAGGCTTATAGATATCTTCACAGATCTTCAGCAGAAAATTGATGTAATTGATTAATGGCGCCATGTATTTTAATTTCAATTAAAAATACCACTCAACATCTGTTCTTAGAATTGAAACAAAAATAAATCGACCAGTGATGATTTGAAGGCTTATTGGGAATGTGTCAAATTTCAAAAATCATTACATAATCCCATACCTCGGAGTGGACGAGAATATGTTAAAAAACAAAAAGTTTATAAAAATTGGTCAATCATTTCCATGAGAGCCACTTGATATAAGTAGTGGTCGGATCAGATCTGTTTCGACATACCCAAATATGTAATACTCGCGCCAGAAAAAAGATTGTCTGTTTCGTTTAGAGAGATTTACGACTGCGAAACTTGTTTGTTATAGGCTAGATTGGCTCTGCTGTATATACTGGTCAAGGACATACATATGTGTACATATATTTTATGGGGTCGGAACGTGTTTCTTCGTATCATTGTGACTAAAATCATAATACCAGTAGCATGAGTCTAAAATGAAGTGACTAAAGAAACATTTCAAATTAAACGTATATCAAAGACGATTCCCAATATGCGATTCGTTAAATCTTAAAAGGCCATACACCATGATATACCTATTTCTTAAATCTTGATACGTAAGGGAAACTTTTCAGTGTTAAAAGTTCGACGGTTGTCGACCTATAACACACTTATTTTATTATATTTTGCCTGCAGCAAATTTGTTTATTTAATTCTTTTTAGCATATAATTTTCGTATTTTTTCAACGTATTCCCCTTTTGGATTATATGGAACATTAACTTACAGGTGCATACCTGTCGTCGTAGGCGCTGGTTGGGTACTGCTGCTGTTAGTGGTGCGGTAGCTGGTTTGGCTGGACGAAGAGTTAGCTGGGAGTCCTAAAAGCGAGGCAAGGACGTCTTCTAACGAAGCGCTGCTCAACGAGCGTTCGGGCGCTATTTTAGCAAATGGGTCGTTTTTCGTTAATTGGGCAAGCCAAGAATGGAAATGGTTGTAACAGTTTTCATTATATAAGATGGGGGCATGGTAAGTACACATTTATATATAAAAATAAAACACAATGATCAATGTGTTCAGGAATAAAACCTGTATTAAGTTTAAAATTACGCTGAGAAATGATTATTGTATGTGCATGTGAGTAAAATGGACTAATTGTTTAAAGTAAAGCATGAAATCGTAACTAAAGTATAATCGAAACTTTAATAAAAAGGGGGAAAACAAATAAGTTTGGACACAAATCGATTTTATTTTAGCCACCAAACGTGTAAGGAAAAACACGCATAGATACAATAAAAAATGAATAGGGAATTATCAATATAAATAAATATAAAAACATCTTCAGTTGTTCGTTGCTTAATAATAAATATAATATAGCACGGTTCGGTTTTAGGTTGTGATCTACCGGATTAGTATTTATAGTATTCTTGAATTTATCTAGTTTTAAAAACCAAGCCTAAAATAGAAAATTCCAAAATGATGAAACATATACATATGTTATAAATAGGTATATTAACTTTTGTAGCTTATTTCAGTTTTGATGCTAGTGACAAGAATGACAATGAAAGGCTTATGGTTCCATAAGCATTCATGTTGACAGAAAAATACGGAAACTAATACAAATAAGTATAATAAGAATAATACAATATATCATTTTAGACCAATGATTTTTTATTCAACTAAAAATTAAATTAAAAAATTTCATAAAATTATGAAACACTACGTTTGACAAAATTAAGATACATAGGTCAAACCGGTATTTCGAAGCATTTTACCAATTCCTTTTTATGAAATTTAAATGCATTGCACTTTGCACCAACATTGCCGATTAATAAATTACATAGTACAATAACTACGAATTAAAAAAATTAATTTTAACGGAAATTGTGTAATCGTCCGTGCGGGACGTTGTGTGCCATAAACATATGCAAATGTAATTCCGCATTATAGCGATTGTCATAATAAAAAATATATTTACATATGTTTGTGTGTGTTTGTGGCTGTTTCTAAAAAATAAAATAACTAAGCACGCATCGCTACGGGTACATCTAAGAGTATAACTACAGCTACTTGGTGCTCCGCGACTTGTCAGATATAAATGGTGGACTCACCGCCACCGCCGCCGACACGGCTGAGTCCGTTCATGCGAAGTGGCGGCTGTCCCGCGGCGTTCACCGGCGATAGACCGCCATCCATATGTGGGTTGTGCGTGGGAAGCTGCTGGGGATTCTGCTGCTGAGCTTGGGCTGATGAGGGCGGGCTGCGGTCTATGTCGGGGGTCTGGGGCGAATCCAGGGGTCGGGTGCCGACGAAGCTGCTCTCCAGCCAGCACTTCCTGCGGAACAGAACAAAGAGCGATAATGCGGAGATGGTATTAATTGGTTGTCCACAGTAAAACCTTTGACACAAAATTGTTAGATTAATCAATAACTGACGTTACTGCGCCATTTGCAAACAAAAGCATCGCCTTGCGGCAGTCCATTTTTTTTTAGTTTTGTCAGTAACCGTTGCGAAAATTTATTTTGGTTATCGTTTCTCACTATGTAGACTCAGAAGTAGCTCCAGGAATGGAGTCTTTCTATTTGTATGTATTGTATTGCTTTTAGTTTATGTAATTCACTTAAAACTCCGAGCACTGCGCTGATGACCTAAGCTCAAAGAACAAGAACAGACGTTCAACACGAATGAAAACAGATGCGAACGAAAAATGGCAGAGACCGAAAGGGACGTTGGGTGGCCAACGGATTAGGGAGAGAGAAAGCCGTCTGATTGCTATAGCGAGGCAGCTCGTGTCGGCCTTTTGGCCGGGCTAAAAATAAAAATTGAATGGAATTGTAGATAATAGCTAAAGCTCTAAAGTATGTATATATCAGAACACTATTGTATTGATTTTTAATTGCCTTCCCACCCCTGATTACCTTATTTTTCTGGTACTTTTGAGTCCAACTAAAATTACCAAATAACTATATATAAATTAATAATTTTGCCACCCCACATGAGCAGGTACATTTTGAAGCAAATACCGATTTGCAAGCCATTTGTTTCCCCTTAAATTTTCAAACTAAGTCCCCACTAAGACATTTCTTATTTCATCCGGACTCCGTGGCAAATAATTTTCGGTGTAGTTTCTTTGTTTCACAGAAATCATCGATAAATAAAAGTTATTTTTTCACGTTCGGGTACATTTTTAGAGGATAGAAAATCGATTTTTTTTAAGATAAGTTAAATGGCTGTAAGTCGGTAAAACAAAACATGAAATGAAGCTGTAATTGCGTAGCTTTTAATTGGATAATTCAATCGATGAAATAAGAAGAAAGGAAACTATCTTTGGTAGGTATTTATTTCAAATAAAATTAATCAATTAAAAGGTATTGTATTATGAAAGGGTGTGACTTTTGAAAATTCGACTGGTTTAAGATAAATGTTTTTATTGGCGCTGTTTAGTTTGAAAAACAAAACCCCCAGTTGAATCACAATTCGATCGTCCTATAAAATGATTTCAAGAATTTCAAGATTTAGTCGGCTCTTTCCGAATGAAAAAATGTTCTGTAAACATACGTTATCTACGGGTCCTTTTATCGTCAAACTTTCTGTTCGTGTGAGAAAAAAAATCTCAGATCTTTTGTATGAAATAGCTTTCATAAAATTAAAATCGAATTTCTGGAGAAATTGATCTGGAAAAGTGTGTTATGTTGACAGTAGACAATTGAAATGGCTATATCTAGCGTTAGATAGAATACTAATTTATTTTTGCAGAAAGCACAAGAACCTTTTACCTTAGTTATTAATACTTTTTAGGGTAACGCACAGCCAAACAGGATAGTACCATACTATGTTAGTTATATATGTACATATGTTAGCAACATGGAACGTTTTCTAGACGATCAACCCAACCTGAGGGTCTTACCTTTGGAAAAGCTTGTGATCGGGTTTGGTTTCAAAATTTTCTGGTGCAGTTGATAACGGTGCATTTTGGGATGTGTACTTTTAAAGATAGCTGCGAGGTGTATATTTGCCAAAGAAGAAAGTTAAAATGAATAATCTGATCTAAATGGAACATGTATTCCAAACTAAGGGCAGATAAAGGGCTAGGACAACACCTACACATTAATGTGTAGACAGGAGCTTGAGATAGGTGATCGGACAACGGCAATATAAACATAGCTAGTACTCGATATATTTCTGTATATTTTATTCAGCTCTGTGCAACGCGCTGAAAGCCGTTGCCTACCTCGAATTTGGACTGACTGATCGGCTGTTCTGATGCTGAGCTTGCTGTTGCTGCTGGTCGTTGACGAAATGCACAATGGCGGAGGTCACCTCCTTGATTGAGCTCTGGATGTCCGGCGCCTCGTGACGTTGGGGTCGTGGTCCATTTGGCGTTGATGTGGGGACGGTAAGGTGCGTTGTGCCAGCAGAGAGTTTGCCAGACTGAAAGAAGATAAAAATCGAATTAAGGGCAATCTTCTGCATTTTCTTGTATTTATACTAATTAATTATATTAATGACTAATTATTCTAAGATAAAATTGACTAATATTTAACTAGCCCATTTAGGGATCTGAGCCTAAAGCCTAGCAGAATAAATAATGAATATGCTTAAAATACAATTATAATTCCTCAATATACATATGTATGTATTCTGTGTACGACATTTTCGATGAAAATAAGAACGTTACATCAGATATGAAAATCTCCCGATTAAAAAAATTGTAAATCTAAAAAATGTATACGTTTTAAGTTATATGAGTATTTTTTATTTTTTCTACTTTATAATATATATAGTTTTTTAAAATTATATGTAAAGCTTTTGTCAATTATGTTCTCCAATATCTAAGGCCAAGAAATGGAAAAGTGCTTAGGGAATATCATAAAATAAATATCTGATCTAAGTAAATGCTGATATATTAATAAAATATTTGCAATATACTAGAAGCGTATAAAACAAACTAGTACCTCAGCTTTGAATCGAGCCGACATACTTTCTTTCTATTTTTAGTCGTATGTATATAAGTCGGAATGAGGCAGATCGGACTACTATTTTGTACATATGTACTACTATAAATATCCCATCGCAGTTTCATCCTATTTCCATCTACTTTAGGAACAGGCAATTTTTTATGTTTTTAGAAATTCGTTTTTAAATCGGATGATTTATCATAAACTATCATAGCAACAATCGTATACTTGAACCGAAATAATAATAAGATATGGAAGTCGTAGAATTTTAATTGAGACATCGTCAACTAAAGAGAGCGTATTTTAATCAGAAAAAAAAATTATATACAATATATCGAAAACCTACACAAGCATTTTTTCACATCCTATTACAGTCGAGTCCCTATAACTCGAAATGGCAAGGGGATCAATTTTTTTACGAATTAGACGGGAATTCGATTTATCGAGATTTCTATTTAACGGGGCTCAAAAATGAAAGAGTCGAATAACCGGGGTTTTTACATTTCACATCATGTTTGCATATGTATTTAACTTTATTAAAATTAAACAAACATTATAAGTATGTACATTCATTTGTACGTTTTTCAAATTAAAGGAAAATTAAACAATAACATATAATTATAATAACAAAAAATTAAACAATTAAGCAGGAACATTAAATTATAAAAAACAAAAATTCAAGCTTTAAAATAATAGCTGTCTGCAAAATCTAACGGTGCTTTAACTACAAAAAATTTCGCATTGCATTAGGTGTTATAAGAGGTTACGAAACAAAATTACGATTTATAAGAGGTTCAACATTCTTTGCGTTGCGCCAAATAATACGAATTAACGAGGGGACTAAAATGTATGGAATTTTTACGAATTAACGGGTTTTTTTTTTTCAAGGGGACCGAATTTTTTACGAATTATCGCGATTTTCGATTTAGCGGGGTACGAATTATCGGGACTCGACTGTAGTTTGATTTTGGCAGTAGTATTATATACCATATATAGTATATATGGTTGTGGGCATGACCACATCCTAAAACCAACTTGATCGTAAATGGCTGAATCGACATTCTGCTTTCGGCTGTATCCTGTCCGTAACGGGTATAAAAAATAACCAAAAGTCCTAGGGTTGCATCTACTTGGGATTCGCATATTATCTATTATGTAGTACACATGGCAGTGCACGGCAACCGAATACTTTTGTACTCCTCGAGTACCAGATTCTTATGTACATACATGTATTAACAAATGGGTTTTCAAAAAAACCTCCATTTTATATGGAATTCCTTATGGAGGCGCCAAACTCACCGTTCATGGGGCGTCCGCTGCGAGAGCTTCTCAGTGCTGCGCCAGCCGAGGTACGGCTGTCGGTAGGAGTTGCGCAGCACTCCGCTGCTACTTGCTACCGACATAAAGCTGCTGTTAATGGGTGCGCCGCGGGCGAAACTGCTGCGCTGCGAGACACTGGGCGACGTCTGGGTTGAGTTTAGGTGCGAAGTGGACCATCGAGTGGATCCCGCGCCGGTCTGTGCGTGCGCCGATCCGTGGACCGCCACCGAGCCGCTCTGTCCGCCGTGGTGGCTGTGCGCTGAGGGACTCAGGAGCAAGGGGCTCCGGTCGGAGCGATGCGATCCCAGCGAGCTGAGCGACGTCGTCTTCGAGTTGAGCCCCTGCCAGCGCCCCGACTCCTGTGTGCGCTTCCGGGCGAAGTTGCCCGGCCGATAGCCGCCAGCGGCAGTGCATCCATCTGCTGGAGCATGTCCGGAGCCTTGATTGTAGTGTCGGAACCAGTCGGGGATATTGAGCCGTTGCAGCGATGCCTGGACCCGCAGCTGGTGTTCGCTTAGAGCGGCAGGATTCTGGTCATGAAGCTTCTGCAGCTCGTTCTCTGGAGGCTGTTTCGAATAAAGAATATAAAGGTTATTTGCTATTTTGTGATGTAAATTTATTGTTTATTAATATTTTGGTACTTCTCATAATAACAATAGTGTGTTAATTAAAATATCAGAAAGCTAAAGTTTGTATACCCTTGTTCCTTGTAATGTAACTAGCTATAAGAAAAACCAACAATTCATATTTAACATACAATTTTGTAATTGCTCCGATTTAACATATAACATAGCCAAATTTCTTTTGGTTGTTATTCTTGTTGTTGTTGATCGTTTTTCTTGAAATTTTCTTTATTGTGTAGATTGATCTATGCAGAAGCGAGCAAAAAAGGAATTCGAACGATAACGGTTCATAGAAAAGTGCTATAAGTGAAAGAATAGATGCATCTGAAGTGTAATATTTACACATAATTTGTTTCGTTTTAATTTTAATGCTATTAAATTGTAATATTTTTTCAGTGACAATCTCATAAGTTACTTTAAAAAAAATTTTCTTAGGTATCGATGCCCTCATCAATTGGTTGGAATTGAGTTTTTTAAGCTATATCCAAAATAAATCGACATATTTTCTTTTGTTTTTATTATTGTCCTTTGAACCGTTATCTTTTGTTTTCGTTTTCTGCTTGTTTCTGAATAAATCAATTTATGCGATAAAAAAATTATGGAAATCGGTCAACAACAACAAGGATTATAACAAAAATAAGTTTGGCAATGAAAATAATTCTGAATTTGTGTAAATACTTTTGATTACCCCTGTATCTGAAATATCGACGGTTGAACTATCTGAGTTCTTCAATTTTCGATAATATTACTACCTGTAATAGGAAGAAGACTATCTGCAATGATTTATTCAAATTGCTTTAGTCTAGGTTAGTAAAATGCGAGATACCCGGTACGCGCATATAATTAAAAGACAAGTTCGCGGGGAAGATTTTCATTGCTAAAATTTGTGAAATATACTAATATACATATATCTGTGTGGAACACATATGAATACTGCTCTAGCTTCTACAAGTTCTAGCTCTTATAGTCTCTGTGATCTCTTGTTTTTGTGCAGACGACTAGTGATACTGATCAATAATATATTAAAACTTTATGGGGTTTGAGATGCCTTGTGTTATTATCATATAAACAAGACTTTATTATTTTAATTTTTAATATTTTTTTTTTAAATAAAATCTGGTTGAAATGGCTAGATCGACTCTGTTGTCAATCCTGAGTTGCAAACTCCTGACTATATATTAAAATAAACTTGCGTGCAAACGATAAGAGTTTCGTCACAAAACTTAGGAGCTATAGATCTTATAGAGCTGATGCTGAGATACTACAGTTGCCTTCCGCTTGCTGCGAATTGGGCCTGAAAAAGCGGGCCCATTTTTGCCTCTTTGGTCAATTCGAATGGCTAACTAGAGACTACAAGATTTCAGGAGCAAACGACATAAGTCAGGAGTCCATAGACAAACCCCCATATGCCCACTACTTCCTGGCGCAGCAGGTTAGGATTTAACATAGGCACACGAAATGTCTTGGTCACTTTAGCACCTCCGTTGATTGAGCTTTAGGGTGCGGATAAGGGGAAATAAGCGTGAGACAACTATGTCGGTAACAATCTCTATTCCACTTTCAGCTGCCACTGTTGCACGTGTACAGAAATCAGTGACAACAAAAGTTGCCTTCTGATTTTACGTCAACATCTTTCTAACTTACCCAGTTGCGGGGCAGCATTTTATCCAGATACAATTATATTTCTTATAGCGACGGAATAAATGTGTAATTTAATTAACTGGACAGGAATTTCTAAGGCCAAATCAAAAGTACTTACAAATCGTAATTAGCTACAGCAAACCACCCACAGTCGATGATTAGTTCGTTGGTTGGCAGTTTTGTTAGAAAAAAAAACTAAAAGGGATTTTACCTAGAAGCAGCATTTGTGAACACGTGTACAAAGTGTCGAGGCAAATTTCGCTCGTTATCAATTAAAAAAAAAAAAAAATGAACCAGCAATGTGGCATTAGGGGCACTGGGAAAGTGAAATTCAAACGAAACAAAAAAAACCAACTTTGAATGGCCTGCTTTACGGGCACGGGAAAAGGCAGAGCAGGCAGTCAATCAACACCTTCTACCACGGCGAACGGAAGAGAAAGGAGCAACCGGGCGGGCAATGGAGTCTACTGTAGACTAGGCTGGGCAGTCACACCCATAGGCAAAAATGCTACTCACTAGTATGGTATACATAATCGATGGAAATAGGTCGGTCTTTAAAGTTATTTTCGTATGCTTATATTTATATTAACGTGCTGCCAATCCGAGGACCCCGAAAAGTGGGCTACGACCTTAGAACACACAAATTTGGCGAAAAAGTGGCAAACGCACGCCAAACCCACCACCACAGTGACACATGGCAAAGCACACCCACGACAAAGTACAATTTTTATTGCCAAAGGCAAAAGAGTACGGTAAGGGGTTTCCTAGGGCTTCTTCGACGCGACGTCTCTTTGCACATCTTAGCTGAAATTAACAAATCAAATGTAGCTCTTACTTGCTCAAACATTGTACGCGACATGCAACAACCACACTAACGTACCGAGTACGCGTACACACGCACACACCCTGTGGCGGCGCGGCCAGCAAACACTATGCGTCATTTGCCATTTCCGGCAGCCGAAGGAGTATGTGTCGCGTTTCGGCTTGTTGTAGATACTGGCCTACCTACGACATGGCCGCTGCAACGCAACCAGGAAGCTGCAATGTGCTGCGATGTGATGCTTTATGGCAGCTTTTGCGCATGCCAAGTACTGTCGCCAACGAAAGCTTTCCGACGGCAGGTTTATGGCACTCTGCAGGACGAGTGGACGAATGACACACCCTGTGCTGCCCGGTCTCTACACCCTTTGCCAGCGCGTAGTGTTGGTGTAAACAAATCGAAAGCACCAGCAACAGGCAGCCGACAGAGTGTCTGGCGTTCGGTCCAGTTTCTGCCATGCCGAAAGCACATGAGGAGGAATCCGTCGGTTAATCAATGAGGGTTGGTTAGTCAAATGGATAAAGTTGTGCTTATATTGAGGTCACCAGGACGTTGTCCACGAGGGGGAAAACAGCAACACTCTACATACTGCTATGCAAAAATATACGGATTTGGCAACTTTCTATATAGTATTAAGAATAGCAAAATAGTGGAAAGGTATCAAGTTTTATCACCAGTTTTATGATCCCAACAATAGAATGCTATTTAATTTGCAACTATGCAACTATTTAGGTATAATTACTTACTATAATAACTTTTTTCAATTTTGTTGTAGTATTATACTTATAAAGCAAAAATATGAATAAAACAAGAGCCCAATCTAACTTCGCGAAGCCGAAAATTGAATTTGACAATATGATACAAGACGTTTACACGACAACTTTAAGACATTTGATTTATTTAAAGCAAAATATTTTTGCTGACACGTATCTTTCTGCTTTTTGCATCATATTAAAAGAGGGTATAAAATTGTTTCATAAGGAGTAAACATGTTAACATATAAGTATTTACTTCTTTGATTACACTTCATGACTTAAATCCAACAATGTTTTCCAAGCCAATTATACACTAAAAAGAGCATTGTAAAAAAAAATGCTAAAGCTATCTATTTATACTACTAAATCCTTTTAAGTTATTAGGCTGCATTTATTTCTAATTTACCAAAAACCATAACACCTGCATTTAAGAATATTTAAGGTTAATAAATAATAGTTTAAAAAACCCTTTTAACTCTGAATTTAGTGATCTTGTTTTTAATTATATACTATTGCTCTGAATTTAATAATTTTGTTTGTAATTATAAATTATTTTCTTCTTTTTAGTTCGGTTATTTTTAAAAGCGTGCTTATTTAGGTTTTTTAAACTATTATTTATTTTATATTTTTTAGTGTGGGTACCTATAAACGCGTGTTTTTTTTTTAGTTCGATTTATCAATAATCAAATTTTGCGGACATTTAATATGAAATATCTTACGAACTATTTCGTAATCTCATTATTTCATGATGCGCAGATCGCGCGCTAGCTCTGTCTCTCTTACTTTTTTACGGAGGATCCATAAAGGAATTTATCAATCCTGACGATCCTAATCAGGATAATGAAAAATGTTTATCAAATTATTGCATTGTCATCGGTCCTTGAGAAGTATGCAAAGTTTCGAGATTATCAGATATTTGGAATCCTTTGAAAATAATGTTCAAAGATTCCGTTACATACATACATACATGCTTACATACATACATACATCCCGAACTAATAAAAGAGTGTTAAAAAGAAGGTAAGGACAAAAAGTTACGTATGCATATAAATTCGTGTATGCATGCGCGTATACTTGACCAGGTGTTAAGAACGCCCCAGGAGGGGTCGCGGAGGTAATTGACAGACGTGTATTTTATAACGGTAGCTTAGGTACGGGGATTAACCCAAAACGGATCTACGGGTATGGCAATACGGCAGGTCAAATTAAAAAGGGTGGATTAGGAAAATACGTAAATTAAAAAGTAATTATGGAAATTTCGAATCGACGTTTTGTCAACACAGCTACCTGTTTGCCAGGTCAGTTCTAGGTAAATGCAAATGTACTTACTACCTGTTGCGTATAAAGAGCAGTGTGTGGCAAGGTAGCAGCATCAGTTGCCAAGCAACACCCCCAGGAACAAGATTGTCTCTGCAGTTCAGCATTCCATCACAACAACGCACAACGATGGCCACACACACGTGCACCCAGTTTTTGAGCCTAAGCGAAATTTCGCCTGCGAAAACGGCTACCACCTTTACTTTGGATGCATCCCACTTTGGTAGATGTGATCTTAATCTATTCATCGATAGCTTGGAGACCATCTCCAAACTTGAAAAAGAACGGCACGAACGCCGCCAACGTCGGCGAGAGCAGAAGATCCAAAAGGAGCGAATGGCCGAGCTGGAGGATGAGCGCTGCACAAGCCCAACGCCCAGTGCCGATGAAGCCGCCGACGAGCCAGTTATGTACTTGGAGGCCAAGTGCATTCCGTACGCGGTTTCTAGTGCCCTGCCTGTCCTTACGGAACCTGGTATGCCAGAGTATTACACCTGCAACGACGAAGCCTACAGTAGCGCCTCCCAGTCACCGCGCAGCAGCGTCACTTACTGCAGCTGTGGCGGCATTTCCAGCCTAGACTCCGACTCCGCCGAGTCGGGGGTTTGCGACATCAGCTCGCCGCCGCCCCTGCGACCCCGCTCTCAGGTGATCACGAAGCCGAAGCAACGTTCTACAAGATCCCGTATAATCAGCATGGTTTTGAAGCGGGAGTATGCCAAGGCACCGTTAGCTGAGAAGTCCAAACACTGCGATCATCTACTCAGCGACACCATCAGTCGCCAGTACGGAGGACTAACCACCAAATCCCGACGCGGCATCGCCTGTCTGCAGGGGTCCCCGGAAGAGCGCTTTCTGGACAAGGCCCTGCGATACCTAACTTTGTGATTTTAGTCACGACAGATGACCAAAAAGCTGTTTTAATATAAATGAATGTTCACATATGTATAAGAGTAAGATAGTTTGTAAACGACCAATTAAACCAAATAAAATGTTAATAACAAAAGAAGAAATATCATTCTATGTTGATGAATAGGGCACTATTCTATTCCAGGCATTTCCTTTTTTCCGGTAATCTAAAATTTTTTGTTTTAAATACTACATAGTACATTCTTAAGGCCTTTGCAATTTTGAAAAAATTTAATATAGTGTTCATCAGACCGCTACAGGGTGGGTGTAAACCGGCCCTTAATATGACAATGGACGTAAGAACCACATTTATGAGAGTAGGTCAGTATTTTAAAGTAAACAAGAATCGCCCCAACTACCATTATTATATCCCCTGCAGGTTATTACAATTTCAGTCAGAAGTTTGCAACGCAGTGAGGAGGCGACCATATAGAATTATATATTCTTGAGCAGGATCAACAGCCGAGTCGATCTAGCCAAGTCCGTCTATCCGTCTGTGCATCAAATTTGATATATAGCCTAGCCATTTTGTCTCAAATTTTATGAAAATCTGACGATTATATCATATTGGTGCCACACAAACGATCGTTAGATGTAGAGGAAAAATGCAAATCTGTGAATTTAAAACTGTATATATAATATGATAGGTGAATGAAATGAAAGCATTTATTACTTCATTGGTTTTTAACATAAATATATATCATTTATTTTGTATGGATTCCTAGTCATCGAAGTTCTATCTGCAAGGGTATATAAACTTCTGCGTGCCGAAGTTAGCTTCCTTTCTTGTTATTATTATTCTTTTTTTGTAAATAATATTATATATTATTGGGTTATTGAACCAACATCCCACGTAAAACTCACTCACTTATTGTGTTGAAACTTTCTTGTGAGAAATCAAATGTAGGCGATGAAATATGGCACTGTCGAGCAGAGTAGGTAATTAACATTAATTATGAAATTCAATTGAAGCCCACACATGGGATCTGCATAAATTGATTCAGCTACAGTAAATAAAATTGATTGAATTATTTGATGTATTTAAATCAAATATTTGTAGCATTTATTTGGTGTCGTTCCTCGATTTCCACTGGCAATGTGCCAACTAAACCATCTCACACTGAACCTTTAAACAATGCTTGGTATGCCAAGTACGTATACTCTGCCATTTTCCAATTTGAGAATTGTTATTACATTTTAAATTAATAAAAAACAAGAAAGGAAGATAACTTCGGCACGCCGAAGGTTATATACCCTTGCAGATAGAACTTCTATGAATAGGAATCCATACAATATATTTATGTTAAAAAACAATGAACTAATAACTGCTTTCATTTCATTCACCTATACATATTATATTTACATTCACAGATTTGCATTTTTCCTCCACATCTAACGATCATTTTGTATGGCACCTATCCTATCCTAGTCCGATTTTCATAAAATTGGAGAAGAATACACCAAATTGTAGAATAATATAAAATTGTTCTCTCAAAATTTCAAATTTGATGTAAACCTGTTGAAAACTGGAAAAGTTATAATATTTGATTGTATTAATTTCTCGGTCGTTTCTATGTAAGCTATATGATATAGTAATCCGATTTTCATAAAATTTGACACAAAATTGTAGAATAATATGAAATGGCTATATCTCAAATTTGATATAGTCGTCCGATCCGGCCTGTTCCGACATATATACTAGTGAGAGTACATAGAAGACTAACTACAAAGTTTCATTCAGATAGCTTCAAAACTGAGAGACTAGTTTGCGTAGAAACGGACAGACGGACATGGCTAGATCGACTCGGTTGTTGGTCCTGATCAAGAATATATTTACTTTATATGGTCGGAGGTGAAATTATAATACCCTGCAAGGGTATAAAAAACCCTACTTAAAGGTATAAAACATTTATGAATAAAAACATAATTATAATAAATTACAATTAAGGACTGCAAAGACTGCATTTTGAAAACTTTAAAGCTGAGGAACGAGGCTTTCCTGTAGATGACGATCAAGAATATACATATGTATGTATATACTTTATAAAATCGGAATGAGACCTTCACTAAGTTGCAAACTTTTTACTAAAAGTATAATACCCTGAAAGTGTATAAAAATGTGTACCGTAAGGCCATTCGGTCAGTGGAAGTTCTTAGCCCCTTAACATTTCGATACAGTTTAATTCGATCTATGCTTGTTGACTAATTATAGCTGCATATGTACATACATATGTACGTATGCAAGTGAACTAAAGAAGTATTGTTCTGTGTAGATGTACAAATGTCTAATTGACGATGGGACAATTGAGCGTAATTGCCTAATTGCTGACATCATCGCGTAATTCGAAAATTCCAAGTGTTATAAACCAAATAAAACTATTGCCTAAGCCTAACCCCCCTCTCCATTCACGGATTCAAACAAGTAAGAAAGCTACAGTCCAGTGGTACAGTTGGCACCTAATCTGCTGTGCTTTAAGAGGCATTTTAAAGTGCTACATTAATTTAAATTTCATACCCTTGCAGAATACAATAATTTTTATTAGAAGTTTGCAGCGTAGTGAAGCCATTTCTGACAACATAATGTATATATTCTTGATAACAATCAACAGCATTTGATCATCAAAGCAATTGAGTTCGTTAATGTTTATTTATTTTCTTCACACAATATATACTATTCCACTTAATAAAAGAATGCTATTTTGCATATCAGAGAAAGAATTATGTACATGTTTTTAATGAACACACATCGCTTATCCGACTTGATTTTCACACTTTTGTGATATATAATTTGTGCAAAGAAAATCGCAGGGCAGTGGCAAAAAGCAATACATATTGTGAGACTATTATGGCTACTTGACCTCTAATGATATACTCCATATATAATACATACATACACTGATATACACATATGACACTAGAGTGGCCTATTTTTCTTATCGTACTCTGGTATTTTTAAGATATAGAGGTTTTTTAAATAATTTAAATTTGTATTTAGTGTCGGAATATGACAAGGTTCATTATGATTAAGATTACTAAGTATTATGTTAATATTCATTAAGCTTATCGAACGAGAAAATAAGCTAAATTCGATCCATTTGGGACAAATTAAAAAATAATTAAATAGGATAAACCAATCTATAGGTTCCTATATGAATTGGCAGCTAGATAGATTAGTCTTTTTTTATCCAATTTAAAAATATTATTTTGAAATAAGCCTCATATGTTTTTTATAATTACACCATTATTTTAATAATTTATGCGTTAGCGCCGTTGTCTTAAAATCCCAAATTATTGTTTTTTGCTAAATATTTAACGAGTGTTTACATGTTAAGTAAATTAAATATATGAAAAAGTCTGTTGCTGCACTGAGACCGGATATAAGGCAATTTAGGAAATTAAGATGGAGAGTTGAGAGATCTGAATCGTTTTAATAAGCTGTTTCAAACTGTATATAATCTATGTTAATCTGGGCCTTTTACTATTTATGCACTAAGGTTCATCCAATTTGACGGATTTTGTATAATGCTAAATCCAACTGACTGTGGCTCCATGTCAAATCTGCTCTTTGTTTATTTACACACACAGAGCATGAGTATCCTATGGCTAAGAAGAAAGTGCCTTTCTTTTAAATTTTCCTGCTTTGCTATTTGAACTGTACACTTTTCATAGCCAGTTCTTTGCCGGTTTACATCACTAGGTCGCGACAAACCAAAATGCCTAAACCAGAATCGGAGGTTGGTGGCCAAAATATAGTGTGTGGGGCGGGGGGTACATTAAAATGTGATTTATTAAAAAAACGACAAGTCTGTCGGAGTGAGCGTGACTATTTGTGGAATGTATCCGAGCGGCAGAGGAAACTCGATGGCAACAGGGGGACAGGGGGACCAGGGACAGCAGAGAACGGAAATGGAACTATGCATGTGTTTTGTTTACCCGTGCCCAGGTCTCGGTGCGAGGGTGTTCTCTGCCTTAGTTTCTAGCGTCGCCTCTCTTTGATTCCTCTTGCAGCAGGTGTGCATTATCGACAGCTGGCACTTTCGACTTTTCCTCATGGAGTGTTTTTATACTGGACTCATATTGTATGTACAACGTACAAGGGTAGGCCCTACCGAGAGTGTATAAATGTATAATATTTTGCATGCAGATAATTTTCTTTTCAAATTTGCTAACCCCTCCATTTTTTTTATTTCTGAAATTATTTTAAGGTGTAGTAATTATTTCGAATTATGTCAACATGTGCGATTAAAATCATTCGGAGAGGGCGAGCTACTTTATTGAATTCGAACATTTTTGGGTACCGGGTATTTCGCAGTCAATTGAACTCTTCTATAGCTTGCTTACTTCCTTATTTTGCAGGCTTATTATAAAAAATAAATAAAATAAACCATAATTACTAAGCGGTTGCTTAATTTTTTGAAGCTCAAAAACGACTCGGTGGAGGTACAACATTTCATAAGCTATCATAGTACATATCTGAATGAGTTTCCAAAACAACGATATAACTCAACTTAACTTTGCTTAAGACAAGGAGCTTCAAGGCGTTCCGAAGTTACACTTTGTCGAATACAAATAATAGTAACATTATCCATACATAAATTGCAAATATTTAAACTGGTTTTTAATTCGGCATGTTTACAGAATATATATAGATAGATAGATAGATAGATACTTCCCAGCTCAGCCCCGAACATGATTACGAAATATTTCGTAAGATATTTCATAATTGCATGTCCGCAAAAATTGACTATTGATAAATCGATAAATAACTGATAGCTTAGAAAATTAAAAAAAAACACGAGTTTATGGTACCCACACTAAAAATTATAAACTAAATAGTTAAAAAAAAACACTAAAAAACACGCTTTTATAAATAACCGAACTAAAAAGAAGAAATTAATTTATAATTACAAACAAAATTATTAAATACAGAGAAATAATAAATAAATGTAATTATAAACAAGATCACTAAATTCAGAGTTAAAAGCGTGGGGTGTATCCGGAGACACGGTAGTATCTCGCGCCAAGTACCTTTTATTTTTTTTCTGTAATTAATTATATCAATCATTGTTTTAACATGTATTCAGTTCGACTATTGCTGTGAATTTGTCATTTGAATAATATACATAATGCTGTTACTAAGCACAAAGTTTAAATAAATACGTGACGAGATATTCTACATCTGCACTGTTTTTGTTAATCTAATAATTTTTTGTAAATATCATACATTTTCATTATCATTAATCGAATTTTCAATTCCGGATGTATGTATATATGAATCTGTAAATATGGATGTATATTTATAGAGATTGTGTCGAAAATTGTCATTATATCATGCAAGTTCTATAAGTCTCTATCTATTAATGGTCAACGTGATAAATACAAATTATCGAGATCGTTTCATCCCCAGTTCACTACGTCCTCTATGAGTCATCAATATTTGTTTGTATATTCATACGTCTATTTGTGTATATCAATAAATTCATTTATCTCTTATAAACAAAGAGGAATCCAAGTAGAAAGGAATTGCAAATATAGGAAAAATATATACATACATATGTATATGTCTGCGAAGCTTTTCCCTTTGGTGGAATAAATACTTAAGTTATAAACAGAAAATCTGCTGGCTGTTTAAAATTAAGTTTTTATGCTCATCGATCTTTGTTTGTTTGTGTACCGTTCTATGCCTTGCATTATTTTTAGACAAATTTCACAGATGCCTCATTCAACATTTTGCTAACGTTTCGCAAATTACACAGACCTGCAAAACTTAAATTATTTACGGTTACAAAAACGTTAACCGCATATTACTAATCCATAGGTTACAATTTTAAATTGCACTACGAAGATTTTAAAATAAGTTATGGATATCTTCAATTTCAACCTTTAATCACACAGGCCTGCGTTAATCACAAATTTATTTTCTAAAATTCTTCATTATGTTATGGTATTTTGGCAAAACTAAAGAAATATAAGCAAAGTAGTACTAGTTAGTAAATAGTATATGATTGCCCTATTGAATAAAGAAAGCAATTTGCCATTTTATCGTTTACCTTGAATTACCTGCGAATTACCTGTCGTGATGAAGTATTTAACCGATAAAAAATAAGTGATCAATAGAAAAGTTTTTCAGCTCGACCTTTTTAAGATCCATATACTTTAATGCATTTGTATTCGTCTAATTTACAAATTCATTCATATTCCTATGGATAACAAAATACAAAAAGGTATGCGACGGCGACAGACACGTATGTACATATGTATGCACAAACGTATATGTATGTATGTATATGTATGGTCGATAAGGTGCGACGCCACCCAGTCGGATTTTTTAGCACCTACATATGTATGTATATACATACAACGCAATTTATTTGAAAGAAGAAAGAAAGAAGTGAAAGAATGCATATTTAATAGATTTTTTTCAACCTATAAAACATTGAGATAATGCATACATACACACATACATATATAAATGTATTTAAAGAATTTAAGAAATTGACGTTAATTTGGTATTATGGCCTCATGAATACATGTATTTTAGAAACGAAAGCTGGAAAATAATCCAGGGTGTTGGCCGCTTTTTTTCGCTTTTCGCTTTTTTTTCTTTAATCGTTTTTGTTCCATTTCTTTGAGAAAACAAAATCATTTATTATTTCAGAAATCTTTATTGGAAATAATACAGATAAACATTTTAGTAGATTAATAGTAGGGTTTAAAGGATTTTAAATAGGATAGTTTATATAATTAGTTAGATTGTGCCGAACTTGCATTTCTTTGGCTTGAACTATAAATTCTCTCACTTCCATTCACCTATCTACAGCTTTATGGATAACCATTTTTAATTTTTTTAAATGTTTTTCTTATTGTTATTTATTTTATTTCAGAATAGAAAATATCTGTCATTTTTAACCTAACCCCTTCTGTTCGCAGAAAATATTGCAAAAGTACCTATCCATGTACATACACATGTACTTATGTGTACAATTGTAACTTTAAAAATAAATTGCTCGCAAGTGGGCACAAGCATTCGTACATATGTACATATGTACAATGCACATACTTAGTCAATTAAATTTCCCGATGTCTGCTCAAATAACCGAATGCTGGAGAACAGAAAAAACCTTTAATTTGAATAAATTACTGAAATAGCTTCTTGTTCAGACGATGGAAATGCCTTAGCAGTGATCTCAACCCCTGGAAGACGTTAACTAGTTTCGAGAGAGACTTAGCAAATTCTTTTGCGCTGACAGACGTTTTTAAAATGTTTATTAGAAAGCGGTTATTGCATGACACAATTTTTAATAACATTCATACTTTTGTACATATGTACTTCAGTGCTCATTTGTTGACTCTTAAACAAAATAGATATATGTATATGTACGTATATGTATATGTTGCTACATAGGGAGTGGTAAAGAAAAATTAAGAGAAATTTGTTCAAGTTCAAGAGAGGGAGAAACCAAGAGTGAACGGTTGCGTCGCAGATAACTCTCCTTAGTCATAGACTCTTAGCAAGTGAGCGGATCGTGCGTTTCTTCTCGACTTGCAAGAGAAACCTTTAATTCAAATCTAATTTCTGACTTGCCCGTTATTCCTTCGTCTTTATCGTTTACAAAATATATACATACATACATAAGTATATATGAGTATATAAGATTATTTTATATATATATAAACATATATGTATATATCACTTTGGACGCCGTCCACGTAGTGACGATGAGCAAGGCAACTACTACGTATGTATGTATATATGTACACGCAGAATTAAAAACAGACTTCTTCGCTAGTTAATCGCGAATAGGAAAAGGTTGTGAATACTTGAGTTATTGAAATATTAATTGGTTCCAGAAATATGTGGATGACGGAACAAAGAATTTCTCAATTGGGACTGTTGGGGCCGTTTTTGTAAAATCCCAAGATTTTCTACCGTAAATATATTTATATAGTTAATCTTAAAACGCGTCTAAGATCTAAATAATAAACTTCGATATCTGAAACCTTTTGGTATAATATAAAATACGTAGTCATGTGAAAGGCATATGCATGTAGATAAAAACCATTAAAAAGGCAAATAAAAATATTATAATGCCGATCGGGAATACATATATACTTTATTAATTCTTATAATTATTTCATACCGTATATGTAGGTACCGGGAGCATTAAGATCAAATAAACCTTATAAAAGACAGGGCGTGATGCAAAGACAAGAAGAGTGAGAAAGAGAGGGCGGGTAGCCGGGCGGGGCGTTCACCCAATTTACAAAACTAAGGTCAAGTGGTCATTGGCAGCATTGCCGACATGCGAGTAATTTGTGGAGGCCACAAAAGGAACTGGGAAAAACAGGGCAAGCCAAGAAGAGAAAAAGAGTGTACACTAACAACAACTAAAAAAGCGGAGTGTGAGAAATACGCTACCAAATGCTTTTTGCGTACAAGTACAAAAACTACTGATAAAGAAGAATAAAATGTAATCTCGCTGTTATTGTTAATACCTTATATGTATATCCAATATTGGGTTCAAGCCATATATTATAACGGCATATATTATTATATTACTATATTTTCTCCTTTCTCTTATTGCTTGATTTATGAACTTTACTTTTCCAATTAAGCTGTGGTAGACACATTAGCTAAACTTGAAAAATGTTTGATACATTTTTAATTATTTAAAAAAAAATATATATATTAAAAATATTATGAACAATAGAGAAATGAAAAATATTTACAAATTTGTAATCCGGTGAACACGCGATACGGTTGTCTAATGCACGAATTGTCATAGTTTTAATTTATTGCAAATTTGCAGTCAAATTTTACTAAAAAAAATAAAGTAAATAGAAAAAAAAAAGGCCCCTTTTACTACTAGATATCAATTTACCGTAATTTCATGTTCACGAATATTGATTAGTTGTACTTCAATAAGAGGTATTTTTAAGGCAGATTACCATATCATGAACTAATGTAAAATTTAAAACCATTTTTATTAGTTACGAAAATGTAATGTAGTCAGTAGTTTGTGGAAGATGCATTCGACACTCTTATAATTTTTGTTTAATAACACGCGAAAACGAAAAGCAGAAACAACCTACATATGTATATATCAAACATAGGGTTGCGTTATAGAAACAAGTTTGTGTATAGTTCCAATTTAAATTTTTTAGATATTCTGGATATTGAGAAACATAACATAAAATATACATTCATACATATTTTTATTGTTATTAATAATTCATTTTTAATTTTTAGAAAAATTGATAACCATAGTAGAGAGGGTAAAGAGTGAGACTATATGACTGAAGAACGAGGTGTCTAGTGAGTTGAATGGCTTTCTAATCCGATAATTAGACCTGGAAATTCTGGAAGCTCGGGCAAGTACGCCACTAATTAGACAAGAAAAGGGAAAGCTGAAAAAGCGCACTATTAACTTTGTCGTTGCGCTGTTACAGCTCACTGAGCAGGTAAGGTGGGTGCGACTACCGCCCAGATCAATAAACGTGTCCTATAAAGAAGATCGAAGACCCTGTTATTGAATTCTAGGCGGAAATAGTAAGAACTGACCTTTTTAAAAATTATGCCAACTTAATTCTAAAAGGGCGAAGGGAAAAGGTAAGGCATAAAAGAAAGCTCAAGTCGAAAACGTCAGATACTCGGCTACCATACGCTATATATTCGATAAAATTTATTTATATATGAAATAGTTCTTAAACTTTATATGCATTTGTCGAATTTCACTTAATTATTATGTAAATTATATATTTAGAACCCTTTTTTAATATGTGTTTTAATATAAAAACAAAAAATAAACAAAAAGATATGGTTTTTTAAACGTCTTTTGAAAAAACAAAACAGCAACTGGGAAGCATGTGCCAGCACTTACCAATGTATTTTTCTGATTCTCCTTGTCCAGCAGAAACTCCATGCTCTTGTGGGGCCTTCGAATAGATGCGATTTGTACACCACCCGCTCCTCCTCCTCTTGAAGCTGTTTTGACCACATCCTCTCCATCCAGATCCAGATCGTCCGCGTTGTAGGCCGCACTGGTAACCTTCAGGCGTTTCACGATATACCGCTTGTGCGGCAGGCTAAGCGGGTTGCTAGTGATGTCCATCAGAGAGCGTGTCTTGCCAGAGATAACCGTCTCGTGGGTATCCAGATTAGTCTCGATTAGACCCATTAGGCCGTCCTCGTTCACGGGCGACACAGCCACTGGCACAGCGGTTACCATGGTGGGCCTAACTCCGCCCAGCTGGTTGAACATCTGTGTTTTTTGGGCGACACTCGCCCGAGACGGAGATTGGCTGTCCCGCATTCTGGTCGCCTCAATTCCCGCTGTCAACTGACCGGCGAACCGCTGGTACTCCTCCCGTTCGGCGCTTAGCAGGGCATCGCTGGCATGGGCAGCACTGGTGGCTCCATGAGGCGCATGCGCTGGGGTGCTGCTGCGGGTCTGTTTTGGCAACGGTGGCTTGCCGGTGACTACCTTTTCCAGGGTGGATGTCTTTGTCAGCTGTTCCGGCCGTATGACGGTCTGACTTTCTTCCTTTTGGCTGGACTGCAGAGTTCGCGGTGGCTTTAGTGGTATGTGTATGAAGTCTACTGCCTTTCCACCGCTGTCCCTTGAGGCCTTCGGAGGCACAGGAGCAGAAGCGGCCTTGATTACCGTCGGCTGCCTGGTCTGCCTCGGCTCCTCCTTGAGCTCCGGCTTCTCCAGTTTTTGTTGTTTCTTCTTGCGGCGCAGCGAGAAACGCAGGCCGTGAGCAAATCTGGAGAGGAAACTCTTGGAGCTGGGATGTTTGTCATCCGTTTTGGCAGTAACCATGTGTATGGCCTGCGGCTTTGGGTCACCCGGTGTCGTCATCTCGCGGATCTGTTGATCCGGATCCGTCTCGTAGCGCTGCAGCAGCTGCTGGGAGGCGTATAGGATGTGGTGTGCGCGATTGGTGGGCGGCTCGCTGAGAATGGGCAGATGGAGGCTTAAAGGTCGAGCGGGGGCGCTGCAAGGTGCGGCTGCTTCTGCGACGTTTACCGATCGGCTGGAACGAGCTGCTGGCGGCTGGAATACCGTTGATGAAGAGTTCGCGATGTTGACTAAGCGGCCGACGTCGACGTCGTTCTTGTTTGAGGTGGGTTCGGATTCCGAACCGACCTCGGTTTTAGCTCCGACACTCGTCTGGCCTTCGGGTGAGGCGTTGTTGATTGCGATATTTTCGTTATTCTCGTCGCTCTCCTCGGCAGCGATCGCCGGCTCTCTGAGCGGCTCTCTTGCCGCTTCTCTTGGCAGCTCTCTCTGCAGCCGCATCTGCTCTTCGGTGTAACGCGCGGCTACATTCTCGTTCTCTTTGGTGTTGTGCACAACAGTGGCGTCCGCATTGTCCAGCAGCTCGTCGTCACTCGACAGTGACGGCTCGCCCTCGCCGGAGAGGCCGCCATCTGGCGGCTCCTCGGACGACTGCTCCTGCCAGCAATACTTGCTTACTACGGGGCAAAAACTCACCTCCTTGCTGAAGGAGTTTCGGGAACCGGCCGGCAGCAAAATGCCCAGTGGCTTCGGCTCGGTGGGAGTCTGAGGCAGTTGGTGCATGGACGTGTGGGCACTACTCACATATATGTCGTCTTCCGGCTCCTGCTGCCCGTCGTCGTAAGCGGAGAGATTGGGCGTGCTGCTGACCAGGCTGCGCTGCTTGGCGGCCGCTGCCTGCGATTGGAGGAAGCGCCTCTTGGGGAGAGCTCTCTGAGCGGATGAGGACCTTGGCGGAGGCGGAGGTTTGGCCGGTATCGCCTCCTGGACAGTGAAGTGGCACTGCTCCAAGCTCTGGGCGTAGGATGTACGCAGGTTAGTGGGGTCCTGGTCGAATGTCTTCTTGCCGAAGCTGCTGAAAGTTAGCTGTGGCTGTGCCTCCGCATACGGTTTCGGCTGGGGCCTGGCATCCCCATGCTCATCCCCGTACTTATGCAGTGGCGGGGCCTTTCTGATGGTCAGCTGAATGTGCTGAGCTTGTTCTGCTTCCTCAAGGCCGGCTGCTGAGTCGACCTGATCCTGTGGGTGCTCCTCCTCCGATTCCGCAACGGGCTTGTCGTTCAGAATGGAAACATTCTTGTCGTATATCTTGCTGATCTCATCCAGCAAGAAGTTTCCCTTGCAGATAATCTGCTCGTAGTCCCCGCCAGAGATTCTGCTGCCGCGGTCGGACATCTTGGTTTCGGCGGACTGGTTTCTTTTGTGATTCCTCTGAAGCTGCTCGGACGGTGGCCGTTCACTTGTGTAGTCGAGAAGCGTGAGGTTTTGGTAGCTAGCGTTTAGATATCCCGCGCTGGCCACGCCCACCACAGCTCCCTCTCTAAGGGCTTGCGTTGTTTTGCGATCACTCCAGCTGCAGCTGCGCCGAGGTCGCGCCAGGCTGTGGCCGTCGAGAAAGAAGTCGTCACGCCTCTCCTCTATCTCCAAGTCCAGCCCGTCGCTCGAGCTGCTGCCACTGCTTTGGCAGTTCCGCTGGCTACAGCGGCGGCTGAGACGGGGTCGACGGCGACGGCCCAACTGCTGCAGCCCACTAGGTAGCGAATGGGTGGTGGCGCCCAGGAGTGGCGAACAGTGGCCCGAGGATGGGCTGCTGCTGCTGCTGCTGCTGCTGCGGCTCCCGCTGCTGATTTCGTTTGTATTGCCGCTAGTGGTGGCCAGCACGTAGCCGTGGGTGTGTGCCTCTGTATCAACAATTGCTCTGCTGGGCGACGGCGAACCTCGCGGCTCGCGTATATCCGGCAAACTATTGCGCAGCCAAGTAAATGATGCGGTGGATGACGAAGAGGAGGCTACAGATCCGCTCGGAGACGGCGATGGTGCCACCGATTCTGGCTGAGAGTCGGTTCTCTCCGAGGAGCTATTAATAGACGATTGAGAAGACGGGGAGCAGGGCATAGCAGCCGTGTCCGTTGTCTGCTCTATTTTCGGCTGATACAAATCATGTCCGCCATTGGAGTTTCGTGAATGATGCGAGATCTCCTCCAGCAGCAGTAGCTCCTCCTCCCTCTCCTCACAAAGCTTGTCAAAATTCTTGGGTATGGATATAGACTTTTCGCTGCGATGCTGCGTGCTGGGCTCGCAGTAGCCAGAATCCTCAGACAAATTCTCTGCTGAATTGAGCGGCACTCGTCTGGCGGCAGTTTCGTCCACATTTTTGCTGTCAGCTGGCACCTTCCCCCCGTTGCCCTGACACGCGTTTAACAGACTGTGCCCACTACTGTCACTGGAGGAGGAGGAGGAGCTAGAGCTGGAGCTGGAGCTGGAGCTGGAGCTGGAACTGGAACAGGACTCCACGTCGGACTTATTCCCTGCCTGGTGCAGGTTCTTAGAGAACAGCTGTCGCTGCTGCTGGTCTTCCAGATCCAGCTTGTTCAATTCGTAGTACGTCTGGTGCAGGCGTCCATCGCTCGACTCGTAGCGCTTCATTAAAGACAAAGACGATGCGGATCCTCGCCTGCTCTCTGGGTTACTGTCACTGGTAGCGGTAGTGGCACCGACGCCCAGCTCACAGCTGAGAAGCGAAGGCGAGCTGTTGCCCAGACTATTCATGCTGAGGTGCTGCTCCTGCAGCGTCAGCTGCCGCTCGAGGGACTCGAACTGCACCAAGGACGAGCTGCGCGACAGTGAATGGTACGACTCGTTATCCGAGTAGAAGTCATCAAAAGATGTGCCCCCGCGCCGACTGCCTGTGCTGTTCCTCTGCCCTTGGCTACCGTAGCTGTCTCGTGTACAGGCTTCCAGGGACAGGAAACGCTCCAAACTGTTATGGGCTTCTGCTTCATGGCGAGCAGCGCGCCGCATTTGGACAATGTCCTCCAAGCCCTGTGAAAGATCTATTTCTTGGCAACGTCGCGGACGTTTTGGTGGACAAGCAAAGTCCCGTTCGGAAATGGCATCGGCATCTGTAATAAAAGTCAGATAGCTAGGAGTCCGAAAACCTCAACAGCTTCAGCTCACCCTTTGTTACTTCATTGCATATGACTGATCCCGTGGAACTCCAAAAGCTGCTACGCGGCTCCTGGCAGCCATTCCAACTGCTTTGGCCGTGCTCTTCATCCTCACTGGTCTCCTCCATGATGGGTTCCAGCATTTGGCGTGAGTTGGACAAGAAGACGGCGTCTGCAAAAGATTGACCGAGGAATAAATTTGTAACTCCTGATACCCCTTAAAATATGGATTTACGAATTGGTGAGGGTCTAGAGATTGGGGTTTTTTTTAGAATTAGCATTATAACATAATGGCAACCGATAATAAAATAATAAAAAAATATCAATTTTCTTAAACATCTTAAGAAAAACTAGATCCGCTGAATGAAGCATAAATATAAATTTATCAAGAAAGGAAGCTAACTTCGGCACGTCGAAGTTTATATACCCTTGCAGAGAGAACTTCGATTACTAGGAATTAATACAATATAAATTATATATATTTATGTTAAACGACAATGAAGTAGTAAAGTTTTACATTCACAGATTTGCATTTTCCCTTTATATCTAACGATCGCTTCTATGGGAGCTATATGATATAGTAGTCCGATTTTCATAAAATTTTACACAATATTGTAGAATGATATGAAATGGCTATAACTTAAATTTGATGAAAATCTGTTGAAAAATGAAAAAGTTCTAATTATATTATATAAAAATTGACACAACACTTATTCGGTCAATTTATATAATACCCCAGAAAAGCTGCAAAAAGTTCGGATACTGCATTTAAATGTTTTATATTTCTCCTGTTAAATTATTTCTTCATTTGCCTGAAATGGATTGACATTCAGCGATCCAATTGCAAACTTCAAGTGTATATACACTTGATCGTCCTGCAGTTAGATTACATTCTATCTTTACCCTTGGAATGTATTATAATTTCGATTAGAAGTGCGCAACATATATTATGTATCGATTTTTAATCAGCTTCATCGCATCTTTTCTGAGACCTTTAAATGATTTATTTGTTATAGAATTTAGCTTTTAGTTTAATAGAAATTGGAAGTCTAGTTAGGTAAATGTAGCGTAAGTTGACATTACATTGTTGTTATTAAACATATGGAAGATATAGAAATTCTAGACGATTTAGAGTTTTATAAAAAAAGTTCTATTTCATATAGCACCAATTTTAATTAGAGCCTGCAAAAGGCAGTAAAAGTTCGGTGTTCTTCTACATTAGCACTTTTTATCTCTTATGTTAGTTAGTACAGTCGAGTCCCGATAATTCGAAATGGCAAGGGGATCACTTTTTTACGAATTAGACGGGAATTCGATTTATCGAGATTTCTATTTAAAGGGGCTCAAAAATGAAAGAGTCGAATAAACGGGGTTTTTACATTTCACATCATGTTTACATAATAAATATGTACATTCGTTTGTACGTTTTTCAAATTAAAGGAAAATCAAACAAAAAATTAACAAACAAAATTAAGCAGAAAGATTAAATTATTAAAAATGAAAATTCAAGATTTAAAATAATTGGTAATTTTTTATTGCTTCGTGTTTTTTTCTTATATTTTTTTTCCATTGCGTTTTCTAAACCTATTAGGTTGTCAAACACACTATTTGGCACATCATGAGTCGAAAAATAATGTTTAAGTTGAGGAATTAATGCTCTGGTTTGTAAATTCTATAAAATTTCTTCTCCGTTCTGATGCCTGCAAAATCTAACGTCGCTTTAACTACAAAATATTTCGCATCGCATTACGATTTATGTATAAGAGGTTTCGAAACAAAATTACGATTTATAAGAGGTTCAATATTCTTTGCGTTGCGCCAAATACTACGAATTAACGAGGGGACCAAAATGTATGGAATTTTTACGAATTAACGAGTTTTTTTCAAGGGGACAGAATTTTTTACGAATTATCGCGATTTTCGATTTAGCGGGGTACGAATTATCGGGATTCGACTGTATAACTTTATTTTATAGTTCAGCACACTCACCTTGCTGTTCAAACGCACCGAGACTGTTCCAACATGTGGCTGTGTTGGCCAAATACCCCGCCAGATCCAGATGTTCCATTTCAGAATGTTGTCTTTGACAAGTCTTTTAGAAAAAGTCTTTGGTTGAATCTCAAGCAGTTGTAAATATCTCAACGTTAAATATTTCTATATGTATATGTTTATGTTTGTACATATATCGATGTTGTAATATCACATTAGTTTGTCTCCATGAGCGGTATCGTTGTCGTTAAGCTTATCTTCTGTAAATGCATTTGTGGCATATTGCACCTTTCCATTCCATTACTGTGATATCCTTTATCCTTTTTATTTAAATTTCTATTTCTTCTTTATCTCCAGATTTAAAACAAACGCAAAATTATAATACCCTGAAAAAAATTATAATTATATCCGTTATAAATAAAATAAATAATAAAGGAAGCAATATTCGGAACCCACAGATTTTTACAATTTATATTTAGCTTTCGGGAAAAGGTTAAACTTTTGAACAGTTTTAATACTTTTACTATTTACTTTTAAATGCTTTAAATAGTAGCCTAAGTATTTTAAAGGCTGGCCTTAAATCCATTAAAATTACAAAACATTTATATTTTAATTTTAATAATTTTTGTTTTCTGATATTTTAAAATCTAAATATATATTGGTTCTTTTGTATCACTTAAATTAATAAGTTATGTAAACACATAAAAAAATATTTTCATTTGCTGTGCATCGTATTTTAATTTCATTGATTTGATTTTTAATAATTCATTGATTTTTAATAATTTAATAAATAACAAGAAAAAAACTGAGGGACTAGTTTGCGTAGAAACGGACAGACGAACATGGCTAGATCAACTCGGCTATTGATGCTGATCAAGAATATATATACTTTATATGGTGAAAGGTGCCTTCTTCACTGCGTTGCAAACTTCTGACTGAAATTATAATACATGCACAGAAAATAAGTCGAAAATAATAGTATGTTCATACTTAAATATTTCGGAAATCACTAGCATTCGGCTTTATTTATCAAATTTTTCCCTTAGCCAAATATCAAGACTACAGCGTAGATATACATGTGTATGTAAGTTTCTCATGATTTGTGGAGACGACCAAAAATAGATAACCTTTTAATGAAAACCCAGAAATTGGTAGCTATGTAAGTTCTTAGTTCATTTGATTTGATTCTGGTATTCAGTTAAGCAATATCCGGATTGATGGTACTCAAAAAAAAAGAGAGTTTTGCGTCCCATTGACTGCAGAAATAATGCAATTAGTCTAAAGTATTGAACACCCCGATTTAAAAAGTGAAGAAAAGTAAACTTGGAAAAACTAAATTCGCGCTAACATCACTGGGGCAATCTGACCTATTCTGCGTGTGTGTTTATTTCTCTTTTTGTTTTGTGTAAACTTAAGTTATTTATAGACGGAATCGAAACACCCAACTGCACAACCGCAGACACAACATAGGAAATTTACTTAAGATTTGGTCAGAAACAATTCATTAAATAGTGAAATAATGTAATTGAAGTGCCAAAAATATGCTAATACCGGTATATATACTTTTTATTGGGGTGGGGATTTCATTATTATACCCTTGCAGGGTATTATAATTTCAGTCAGAAGTTTGCAACGCAGTAAAGGAGGCACCTCCGACTATATAAAGTATATATATTCTTGATCAGGATCAACAGCCGAGTCGATCTAGCCATGTCCGTCTGTCCGTCTGTCCGTCTGTCCTTCTGTCCGTCTGTCCGTTTCTACGCAAACTAGTCTCTCAGTTTTGAAGCTATCTGAACGAAACTTTGTAGTTAGCCTTCTATATACTCTCACTCGTATATATGTCGGAACGGGCCGGATCGGACGACTATATCATATAGCTGCCATAGGAATAATCGGAAAATTTTTTTAAAAAAAATTTTAACTTTTTCAGTTTTCAATAGAATTTAATCAAATTTGAGAGCCATTTTCCTATATTCTACAATTTTGCATAAAATTTTATGAAAATCGGACTACTATATCATATAGCTCCCATAGGAACGATCGAGAAATTAATACAATTAAATTTATAACTTTTTCAGTTTTCAGCTGATTTTCATCAAATTTGAGGTATAGCCATTTTGTATTAGTCTTAAATTTTGTGTCAAATTTCATGAAAATCGGACGACTATATCATATAGGTGCCATACAAACGATCGTTTGATGTAGAGGAAAAATGCAAATTTGTGAATGTAAAAATGCAAATATGATATGTATAGGTGAATGAAATGAAAGCAGGTATTACTTCATTGTTTTTTAACACAAATAAATATAATTTATATTGTTGAGATTCCAAGTCATAGAAGTTATATCTGCAAGGGTATATAAACTTCGGCGTGCCGAAGTTAGCTTCCTTTCTTGTTTTTCCTATAATTTCAATGTGTAAATGGAAATAAAGTAAAGCCATTAATAAAAACCCAAATCATTACTAAATAGTATATAAAGTAAGTGCCTAGTTCAAAAGGTGAAAAACAAAACAAACTCTTCCGGAGCTTGAAATACATATGAATATAGCTTTAAAGAGAATTTAGTTTAGAATTAGTTTATTTTTTTAATATAATGCAATCGATCTCGTCGAATACATTGCAAAAAAGCCTTTTGCGGTTTCCACTAAAACTTATCTCTAAGCGGTCTCATATCGACGAATCTTATCTTTGGGTATATACGAATGTTTACCTTTACTAATTAATTATTTTGAGCCACACCCGTATTATAACCAACCAGATTACAGATCTCAGAAACTAAAAGAACTAGACCTACCCTAATTGGTTACATCAAAAAATTATGTATTTATTTAATTTGATACAACTTTCACTAGTATTCTTCATTTCTTAAATTGTTGTTAAATTGTTGTTCCTAATGAAGAAGTTTTCAATTTTTTTTGCAGTTGGTTTATGCAAATTGTTACTGTTCAAAATTGAAATCAGATACTTTTGTAATTGAAGGTATCAACTTTACTTTTATCTGACCTCGTTAGCGATTATTATCGCTTGATTAAGCAACCGATTTAAAGGGTAAACAATAACAATGGTCCGAATTCTCCCAATTCGCGTCTAAAACCTCAAGCAGTAATTTATATACATATGTATGTAAACACAAAAATTTGCTAAACACCACCAAAATGCAACACACAATGTAACACAACATTCTGTCAATAAGACCTGTAAAAATAGATGTAATCTAATATGTTTCTTTAAGATCAATCATTTATCTAAATTATTACATTACCAGGTTCATTGATAGTGCTCGAATTAATGTAAAACCCATGTGTGGGTTGATAGGGAACGGACCATATAGGAACACTGAATGTTATATTTTAAAAGGCAAGGTTATCGTGCGCCCTGATAAGCGCTCTCTTAACACACATGTACATATGTATATATATACACTTATACATATATATATATGTATATATATATTACGCACAGCGTCGAATATCGGTTATTGCGAACTACATATGTACATATGAATGTAGGTATGTATGTACATAGTACTATATGCGATCTCGTTGTCAATTTCATTTCATTTCGTTTTTCCTTTAGTACCACTGCTTACGATCGTAACGTAAGTCTGATTAGGGAGCGGTAACCGAGGCCCCTAGAACACCGATCGGTCGTGTTCCAACCGTAAAGGCGACGACACCGCTATACCGCCGACCGTAGCGTTTGAGGTACGCTTGAATACTAGCTAAAATCACACGCTCGCCAACGCCTGCAACGCTATCGTAACGTATTTCTGTTTGTATACCCATCAAAGGGGTTTCTAATTAAATTTAACAAATACCTACATACCCCATTTAGGAACAGTTGTTTCGAAGGACTTTGGGATAAGGAAACTATAGAATAACCTGAGCTGCATACCGGAATGTATTTGATTTTTGAACATATAAACAATACATGAATCATCACACATATCATATATCATATATGTATCTATCATATGTATCATTGATCATGCATACCTACATTCTATATACATACGAGGAGATCAAACAAACAATTTAACAAGTTTTTGTTTTTGTGTAGATACAAAGATTAGGGTTCATGACAATCCAATTTTTGTTAACAAAATTTCAAAAACCATATTTTTCAAAGCAACTGTTAATTGCGCTTGTCTTCAATGTTTTAAATCAGCAATGGGTAGCAAATACATGTGTACATATAAGTATAAGCCTTTTATCTCTGTCATATGTATTTTTCTTTCGAATTGTATCAGAATGGGACACATGTACATATGTATGTATAAATAAATGTGTAGGGTCTCTGGAACAGTTAAAATATATTTGTTTAACGCATAGTACACTAAACTATAACATTCGAAGAATGTCTTATAAAATTTGTATAAAGAAATATTCAAAAATATGGCAATGCTAGCAATTTTTCGGACGTGTCTCGAAAAAAAGGTTGAACTGCGATGCCAATCATAAATTGGTGCCGGATCATCGGAAATCAAAAAATTCAAATTCATTCCCTATATTCCTTTTTATACAATACCCCAGGTAACGCTGTCAAGTTTTTTTTTTAATTCAATTTTTGCATTTTTTTTTGACGACTTTGAAGTGAAAAACCCTTTTTTCTTTGGGAAAAATCTACTAATTTGTCATTGTAAAATCAAAATTAAAAAAAAAACCCCGACAGCGTTACCTCGCAAAATATGTACAGAAATAGTGTTTAAAATTTCAAAAGGATCGGTGCAGTAGTTTTGAAGTTATGACTGGCACCGTCTTTAAAAACGTGAGTTGTGGGAAAAACACTTTAAAGTTTTAAATGCAAAAAAATCCAGGGTAAAACGAAAATCCGGTAAGTAGAAAAATACTCATAACTTCGTACATTTTGCTTTGATTGACTTGAAATTGTTACCAATATTCTTAAGATATTATGCATTCAATGAAAAAAAAAATATATAAAAAAAACATGTAATACCCCCCCCCCCCCTTAAAAACCAAAAATATGCTATATGCATATACAATGTTGCTAGCGACATGTTTAGCAACACTCGTTGCTGCCAACACAAATGTTGTTGTTGCAAAGGTTTAACATGCACAGAAACTTCATCCCCTAATATCTCCGATATTTACTAACCAATTTTACAACTATATTACCTTTGTACCCTAGGGGTACAGTAGATTTATATACCTGGTATGTCAGTTTGTTAAAGTTTTGTTTGTTAATGCCGTCCAATTTTGCAATATCAAAATTTATCACACGCTTAATATTATCTAGCGTTAAACTGAAGAACTAAAAAAACCAAAACATTACGTAAGAGGCGTTCTTAAAAAAACCTTTTACAAAGTTAATTTTTATCATAAATTCTAAATTATCTTACTTAAATCAAGTATATCAAGGCAAGATTATCGTTTTATATTACCATTTTACTTTTGTAATCAAATAGTAGTTGTAGGGCAAAAGTTTTCCAGTTCGATCTTATAAAACTTTATATATACAAATGTACAGTAACGAACTTAATTATTGGCACAGTTAGGATGTCTGACTTTCGTACAGTGTTTCGCAACAAAATGTGGTGATATTTAATTTAATTATTAATTAATTTAATTAATTAATTAAATTTAATTAATTAATTAATTTAAAAAATTTAAAAAAAACGGTATGAAAAAGTTATGGGCAAACTGTGGTAATTGTGAATTATGCTGTAAAAAATTTGATAAATTTTTTCACTATTTTATTTTTAAAAACCCCGTTATCTTTGTTTCGGATAGTCTTCTGATGCTTGAACGTCGTAGTATATATGAACATATACAGAATATATGTATTTCGATCTGATTATATATACGATTTAAATTTCATTAATAACCGAACTTAATTTTAAAGTAAAAGAAACCCTTAAAGCCTTTCACGACCTTGTTGTTTGCTCCCCGCATTTTATTTTATATACATATATATATAGTTACTTAGCTTTGTGATGTAGCTTAAACCATGAGTCAAAGTTTAAAGAGTAATAAACTTGGGCGTTTCACACAAAATTCAAACAAAAGTTACACGCTCGCTACGTTTTTGCACACTCTAGACTTTCATTTTCGTGTCTTATTTAAAACAAAAACCGACTCCCTTTAATAATATAATATATAATATATATATATATATATTATATATTATATATTATATATTATATATTATATATTATATATTATATATTATATATTATATATATATTATATATTATATATTATATATTATATATTATATATTATATATTATATATTATATATTATATATTATATATTATATATTATATATTATATATTATATTATTAAAGGGAGTCGTTGTGACAATGAGCACAGAGTGTATAAACAGTGCAACTACTTAATATACCTATCAAACGATATTTGCTTTAGGAAAAGATTGGACTTTTCAAAAATTTTTGAGAATTAGAAATCTATACAAAGTTGCCAAATATCTCAAAGCGCGTTTAACGATTGTCATTAAATTTAAAATATATCCATTTTATTTTTTTACAATTTTGTTTCAAGTTTATACATATGTAGCTGCCATAGGTAAGATCGAGAAAATTAATACAATTAAAAATTATAACTTTTTTTAGTTTTGACGACTTAGAAGAAGATAAAAGGTTGCATTAGCAGCCGCAGTGTTTCGGGTATATAGAAGATCTGAGAAAGGAAGTTGGCAAGCCAACATGCATAAATTTAGCACACTAGGGATTCCGGAATATGACATCAAGGCATAAAGGTTTCCAAAATCCAACGAAAGCTTGGTTCATCCAGATCGTAAATTAAACTTAACTCTGATTTGAATTTAGACTGTCAGTCGCTCTTTGTTTTTCTCTGGCTTCGTTTCTTTCTTCCGCTGGCATTTGCCGACTTCAGCAAATTAAGTTCGGTGGGAACAAGGTCATTTGGGAATGTTTTAGGCACCGGTTTTCTAGGCAGAGATAAAAAGTGTGACGAAGTAGTTGGAAATAGCAGACCAATACACCAGAAATATTTCTTTTGTAACTGGAAAACGAAATCATTAGTGAGTATGTTGTTATTTCAAAGAAAATATATATTATGAAGTTTTACCAGGATGGGAGGATCTCTAGTTTAATCTTTATAAGGGGTTGCTAAGTTTTAAAGGAAACATATTTTAAAGGAACAATAAATAATCTGCCATAGTCCGCCGTGCTCTTGGGAAAAACTTGCATAAAAAAGCATTATTCTTCCAAGTTTACAAGCAACCATGAAAGAAAGCTAACTTCGACACCCTTGCAGATTGCAATTCAATAATTAATAATTTATACAATGTAACTTATATATATTTCTGTTCAAACAACTTATTTTATTTACAGTTTTACAGTTTTCCACTTTTCTATATATTTAAAGATAGTTTCTATGATACAGTCTTTCGATTTTCATGAATGGTGCTATATGATACAGTAGTCAGATTTTCATAAAATTTTGAACAAAATTCTAGAATACTATAAAAATTTAAAATCTTCAAGAAATGGAAAATTAAAATTTTTTTTTTCTAAAAATTTTTCGATTCTTCCTATGACAGCTATATAATATATTCGTCCGATCCGGCCCGTTACGACAGATATACGAAAGAGAGTATATAGAAGACTAAATGAAAATTTCGTTCAGATAGTTTTAAAACTGGGAGACTAGTTTGCGTAGAAACGGACAGATAGACAGAAGGACAGACGGACATAGCTAGATCGACTCGGCTGTTGATGCTGATCAAGAATATATGTATATACTTTATAGGGTCGAAAATGACTCCATCACTAAACTTCTGACCAAAATTATAATACCCTGCAAGGGTATAAAAAATCTATATAATATATTCTATTATCTATACAACCTGTGAGATACGCGGTACCCTAAAATTATGGGTAACAAGAAAGGAAGCTAACCTCGGCACGCCGAAGTTTATATACCCTTGCAGATAGAACTTCTATGAATAGGAATCCATACAATATAAATTATATATATTTGTGTTAAAAAACAATGAAGTAATACCTGCTTTCATTTCATTCACCTATACATATTATATTTGCAGTTTTACATTCACAGATTTGCATTTTTCCTCTACATCAAACGATCGTTTGTATGGCACCTATATGATATAGTCGTCCGATTTTTATGAAATTTGCCACAAAATTTAAGACTTATATAAAATGGCTATACCTCAAATTTGATGAAAATCTGTTGAAAACTGAAAATGTGATACTTATTAATTGAATTAATTTCTTGATCGTTCCTATGGGAGCTATATGATATAGCCGTCCGATTTTCATAAAATTTTACACAAAATTGTAGAATAATATGAAATGGCTATATCTTAAATTTGATCAAATTCTGTTGAAAACTAAAAATTTTATAATTTTTTTTCTAAAACTATGACAGCTATATGATATAGTCGTCCGATCCGGCCCGTTCCGACATATATACGAGTGAGAGTATATAGAAGACTAACTGCAAAGTTTCATTCAGATAGCTCTTCAACTGAGAGACTAGTTTGCGTAGAAACGGACTGACGGACAGACGGACATGGCTAAATCGACTTGGCTTTTGCTGATCAATAATGTTCATATATATTTTATAGGGTCTTCTTCAATGCAAACTTCTGACTAAAATTATAAATTATATACAAAGACAGAAAGCAGGAAAAAATTCTGTTTTAGTAAATTTGAGGTGCAGTTAC